CCCGCGCGCTTGCGGGCGCTGGCCCCGACCCTGACCGTGACCCATTCCGCTGCCGCCGCCGCCGCTGCCGCCGCCATGGCACAGGAGAACGCCGCCTTCGCCGCCGGCCCCGAGGAGCCGTCGCGGCGCCGCGGCCGCCAGCGATACGTGGAGAAGGACGGCCGGTGCAACGTGCAGCAGGGCAACGTGCGCGAGACGTACCGCTACCTGACGGACCTGTTCACCACTCTGGTGGACCTGCAGTGGCGCCTCAGCCTGCTCTTCTTCGTCCTCGCCTACGCACTCACCTGGCTCTTCTTCGGCGCCATCTGGTGGCTCATCGCCTACGGCCGCGGGGACCTGGAGCACCTGGAGGACACGACCTGGACGCCATGCGTCAACAACCTCAACGGCTTCGTGGCCGCCTTCCTCTTCTCCATCGAGACGGAGACCACCATCGGCTACGGGCACCGCGTCATCACCGACCAGTGCCCCGAGGGCATCGTGCTGCTGCTGCTGCAGGCCATCCTGGGCTCTATGGTGAACGCCTTCATGGTGGGCTGCATGTTCGTCAAGATCTCGCAGCCCAACAAGCGTGCCGCCACGCTCGTCTTCTCCTCACACGCGGTGGTGTCACTGCGCGACGGCCGCCTCTGTCTCATGTTCCGCGTGGGCGACTTGCGCTCTTCTCACATCGTCGAGGCCTCCATCCGCGCTAAGCTCATCCGCTCGCGCCAGACGCTCGAGGGCGAGTTCATCCCGCTGCACCAGACCGACCTCAGCGTGGGCTTCGAGACTGGCGACGACCGCCTCTTCCTTGTCTCGCCTCTCGTCATCAGCCACGAGATCGATGCTGCCAGCCCCTTCTGGGAGGCGTCGCGTCGCGCCCTCGAGAGGGACGACTTCGAGATCGTTGTCATCCTCGAGGGCATGGTGGAAGCCACGGGTGCGGGCGGACCCGAGGAAGGGAATGGGGCGGGCTGGGAATTGGACTTAGAAGGGCACGGGTGGAGGTGGGCAGGGCTGAGAAAGGCAGGGGCAAGAGAAGGGGCCAGAGGTAGGAGAGAGGCTAGACAGAGAGGCTGGTGGAGTGAGAGTGCGAAGATGGGATATCTGAGTTGGAAAGGGCATGTGAGCATAGTGACCCCGCAGAGAGTCCAGAGAAAGCATGGGGGATCCTCTGAAGTGGCCTTTGCCTGGGGCCCTGGGCTGAGAGGTCTGTGTCACTGGGAATAGGGCAGAGGACTGATCATAGCTACTCTGTCCTGCACAGCTCCAAAGGATCTTACCTTTCTCAGTTCATCTTAACGAGAACCCCATGAAGGTAATTTCTTGGTATTGTGTTCATTTTTTTCAGAAAAGAGATTTTGCCCTCAAAGTAGGGTTAAGTGAGTTGTCCACAGCCGTAAGCTATTAAGTGGCCATGCCTGGATGGGACACAGGCAGTCTGGCTTCAGTGTTTAGTGGTATGGAGTTGGAAGTGAGGGTTAGGTTCATGGTTTTTGTCATTCTGAGAAGTCCAGGTCCCTGGACTTTAGTGGGGAGGGTTATCTGTGACTTGAATTAGTCCTAGTCTGGACTTTAGAAAAAAGTTGATACCTGGTCTCACTTCTGCCTCTGTTTCACCATTCATCAAGATTCTCAACCTCTACTGACAAAGGAGACAGTTGATCTTAGCATTTCTAGTGGCTTCCCAGAAGGAACTGATAATACACCTGTAATGTCAGTACCTCCAACTCAGGCCTGCACAGTGAAGGGCTTGGGAGCAGGCAGGAAAAGGCCAGCGCCGGGGCAGCAAACGAGGTACTTTACGACTTGGAATCTAGGAGTGGAGAAGAATTAAAACACTACAGGTGGATAACCGGAGGCCCATGAGTGGGCCACAGTTCCTGTTGTCCCAGCTGTTGCCCTCTTCTGGCTTCTCCCACAAGCTGGTGCCCTCAGACTCCTTCCTGGCTCCTTCATGCTGAGCCTCTATGCACCACCATCTGCCTCAGTGTTCCCTGTTCCTTCTTTACCAACCCCAGACTCTCGCCCCAGC